CCATGCTGCAAGTAAGAAAATGGAGGCCTGGACACACTGAAGACCGTGGGCAAGGTCCCACAGTGAAGAGGGGAACCAGGCCTCAGATCCAGACCTGACCTCTGTCACCTACACTCTGGACAGCCTGTCGCGGGGTCTTCTGTAGATGATGCTTCAGTAAAAGTTAATGCTAATTACTTAGCTGTCATAGTCTAGCGAGGCTGCCACTGTCATCGTAAAATAAACTGGACCCTGTTTCTCAGGCTCCTTTCTGCATCACCTATTGTTTTGTGCTCCCACCAGTTCCTAGCCTGTAACAGATGCCAGGTGGCTGATAGAGGGAGAATGACTTTCTCTTGTCAGGGCAAACCCCTAGAATCAACAAATAGCCTAGATCCTGGAGGAGAGACCTGCCCAACAGGAGCTGAACACCCAACACCAGGAAAGCGGCAGCCCCTCCCTCTCCCTCAGCCCTACCAGGGAAGCCAGAGCAAGAGACTGGCCCGCCCCAACATCCCTGGGAGCCAGGCGCTCTCAGCCTGTGTGAGGGGCTTGTGCTTAGTTCAGGCCTGCATCTCCCTAACACCCCCTCAACTCCCGGATGCGGGGCTGGCCCTCTGGCAGGACACCCTCTTGGATCTGGGGCTCTTGGGAGTGCATTTCAAAGTCCAGGAGGAAGGAAAACCTTTTCCTATTTTATCTCTTCACCTGGATTAAAGAGGCTGCATCGTGTAGAGGAGAGAGCCTGGCATTGGAAGGAGACCTAGGTTCGAATCTTGGCTCCACCCTCAGAGCCGGCAAAGCCCTGTGAGTGTGTGCAGAATTCCTGTGATTTTTTAAATAGGCAGGCTTGTCCTAGGGAGACGCATCATAATGATCAGCTAAAACATATATACGCAGTTTATACAATTACTCTCTTTAAATAGTATATTACTTGGGCTACCTCAGTGATATATACACCTTCTCCCTGTCACTGAAAGTTGTAACTACAGTAAGACACCACTGCCAACAAGATGTATTCTATCTCTCAGGTGTTTTGAAGAGAGGAGGAAACTATCAGGTAAGAAATCTCATGACTTTAAAATCTTGGCTGAGTGTAAGAATCATCTGAAAAATTTAAGGAAAATGCTGATTTCCAGGCCCCACCCCAGAGCAATTCAGTAATTAAGTCAGAATATCTGGAGATGGGTCCCCCAGGTTTTGGTATTTTCTGAAACCACCCCCAGGTGATTGTAAAAAGTACACCACACTAGCTGAGCCACCTCTCGAGGCACTTCTGACTATGGTCCCAGGGCCTAGGCTATGAGATAGATATGTTTTTGTGTACATACCTATTCACATCACAACTTAATGCTTTCAACCCGCTTTCCCATTCCTATTCTGGTTGACTTTGTCGGAGCCCTGATCCCTCTCCAGGGTTCAGACTTTCTGACAAATGACGTTATCTTTCAGGATATGATTTTGTTGCCTGCCTTCACGCTGAAGGCAGTTCTCAGCACCTGCCACTGGAAGGAAAGAAGTGAGGGAGCTGCTGCCTGTGGCTGAGCTGGGTGAGATGCACAGAGCAGTAGGCTCGTTATTGTGTATATCACCTTGACCTTGAGTTGTCACGGAATAGAAAAAAAAAGGTGAGTTTAATAACAATATTATTCTTTTTAAAATATAACTGGGCTTCAAAAACAGTGAATTAAAACAATGAAATAAATAGAAATACTTTGAAAGAAAATAAAATGTTTTTTTAACCTTGATTGGATGCACTAGGGATTCACTATCACTTCATAACAGATTGCCCCAAACCTTAGTGGCTTACAACAACAATCATTTATTTTCTCCTGTGGTTTCGGTGGGTCAGGAATTCAGACAGAGCCCCGCAAGGACGCTTGCTTTACTCTACAGTGCCTGGAGCTCCGCTGGGGGCTGGAATCATCATCAGCCTTGTTTCACTCACATGTCCATGGTTGTCACTGGCTATTGGCTGGAACACCCACATGTGGCCTCTCCATGTGGCCTGGGCTTCCTCACAACATGGTGGCTGAATCCTAAGGGTAAGTGTGCTGACAGTGGGGAAGCCAGACTCCCTATTGTCTTTAGACCTAGCCCACAAAGTCATGTAATGCCATTTCTGCTACTTGGTTGAGGCACTTAAAAAGGTCCACTCAGGCTCAGTGGGAGGGAACATAGACCCGCTCTCCTTTAGAAGGAATCCCAACATCATATTGTAAGAAGAGCATATGGGAAATACAATCGGCCTCACATTGTTTTTTAATTTTCTTATTCACCCCAACCCCTCCAGATTCCAGAGTAACATATGCTCACTGCAAGGAAAAAAAATTAAATAAAAATCCAGAATTGACTGGTTTGGTGGCTCATGCCTGTAATCCCAGGACTTCAGGAGGCTGAGGCAGGAGAATTGCCTGAGACAAGCCTGGGCAACAAAGAGAGACCCTGTCTCTCCCACAACAACAACAAAAATTCAGAATTTATACACCAAAGTCTATACTTTACTCGCTATCTCAATCACTCCCTGGAGATAACCACTATTAACAGATCGATGTGTATTATTTTATACAAACCATATATATATATATATATCCTCTCTATATATATGGTTTGTATGTGTGTGTGTGTGTGTGTATATATATATATATATATATATATACACACACACATATATGTAAAAGCAGTATATGTATATACTACTTTTTAAAAAACCACTATGCATTATTCTGCAATTTGCTGTTTATTCATTATTATGTGATGAACAGAGTTCCATGTTAGTACATATTGTTTAAAGTATTATAAATTAATGATACAACAAACATGTTTATATTAGTTCATATAGGGCAGTATCTTAAAAATGGCAATGTTTAAAGGATAGGCAGGATACTGTTTTTCTTTCTCTCTCTCTCCCTTTGTTTTTATTTATTTATTTTTTTTTTTGAGACACAGTCTCACTCTGCCACCCAGGCTAGAGTGCAGTGGCATGATCTGGGCTCACTGCAACCTCTGCCTCCCAAGTTCAAGCGATTCTCCTGCCTCAATCTCCCGANATTCTCCTGCCTCAATCTCCCGAGTAGCTGTGATTACAGGTGCCCACAACCACGCCTGGCTAATTTTTGCATTTGTAGTATAGACAGGGTTTCACCATGTTGGCCAGGCTGGTCTCAAATTCCTGACCTGAGGTGATCCACCCGCCTTGGCCTCCCAAAGTGCTGGGATTACAGGCGTGAGCCACCTTGTCCAGCCAGGATACTATTTTTCAACATGAGTGTTTTTTGTTAAAGGTTAGTGTCATTGTTATAAGAAAAAATCAACATTAAGGAGGATATTTTTTTTTTCTTTGCAAAGGGCAGGTTTCTCTAGCCTTAACACAAAAGAAACAAATAAATTTGTTCCTGGGTTTAAAAGATGCTTTTAAGCTTTGAAGGAAACTTGTCATTTATTTAGAAAATGATGAGTGACAGGAAGTAGGTGGTTATAAAGCAAGAGGTGGATTTCCTTTTCTAATGTTTTTAACTCAGGCTGATATGGAATTGAATGTGGATTCTTCAAAATTCATGTTGACACTTAGAGGGAGACTTATCAGAAGGTGACAGTGAACAGGAAACCAGCTTGAGGCAAAAAAAAAAAAAATAAGTGTCATATATGACCCCCCAAAAGTGAATAGAAAAATGACTTTGCTGGTCATACTGGTGAATATATAGAAGTACAGTCAGACCTTCATATCTGTGGATTTGGCCAATGGCAGGTGAAAAATATTTGGTGGCTGGGCATGGTGGCTCATGCTTGTAATCCCAGCACTTTGGGAAGCCGAGGTGGGCAGATGATGAGGTAAGGAGATGCCAGACCATCCTGGTTAACACAGTGAACCCCTGTCTCTACTAAAATACAAAAAATTACCTGTAGTCCCAGCTTCTTGGGAAGTGGAGACAGGGGAATAACTTGAACCCGGGAGGCAGAGGTTGCAGTGAGCTGAGATTTTGCCACTGCACTCCAGCCCAGTGACAGAGCAAGACTCCATCTCAAAGAAAAAAAAAAAAAAAGGATGGTTGCATTTGTACTGAGCATGCACAAATTTTTCTTCTAAAATTATTCCCTAAATAATATAGTATAACAATGATTTGCATAGGGTTTTTTTGTTGTTGTTTGTTTGTTTGTTTTAAGACTGGGTCTCACTCTGTCACTCAGGCTGTAGCGTAGTGGTATGATCATGGTTGACTACAGCCTCAACCTCCTGGGCTCAAGCAATCCTCCCATGTCAGCCTCCCAAATAGCTGGGACTACAGGCATGCACCACCATGCCAGCGAATTTTCAAAATTTCTTTTGTGGGGACAAGGCTCTCACTATGTTGTCCAGGCTGGTCTCGAATTCCTGGGCTGAAGCAATCCTCTCACCTTGGCCTCCCTAAGTGCTGGGATTACAGGTGTGAGCTACTGTGCCTGGCCTTGAATTAGGTATTACAAATAATCTGGACATGACTTAAATATATGGGAGGATGTATATAGGCTAAGTGCAAATACTACATCATTTTATATCAGGGATATAAGCATCTGTGGATTTGGGTATCGGTCAGGGAGACTGGAACTAATCTCCTACAGATGCCAACAGGATCTGTCCACCTATTCATCCTTTGTTCACAGATGGCTAATCTGTAATTTTTAGGGGGGTCTTTTTTTTCTGGCAGAGATGGGGTTATTAAAAACTTCTTTGCTGGGAATGAAATTGACACATGCTGCAAAATGGATGAACCTTGAGGATATTATGCCAAGTGAAGTAAGCCAGCCACAAAAGGACAAATATTGTATGATTCCACTTAAATGAAGTATACAAAATAGGTAAATTCATAGAGATGGGAAGTCGATGGCGGGGAGTTACCTCTGTGGGTAGGCGACATGGGGAGTTAGTACTTGGTACAGAGTTTCTATCAGGGACGATGAAAGTTTTGGAAATAGTGGGGGATGATTGTACAATATTGTGAGTGTGATTAATGCTGCTGAATTGTATACTTAAAATGGTAAAAATGGCAAATTTTATGTTCTATATCTTCACACACATCTTTGCTGGAGCAGAAGCGAGAGGTTAGGTTCTGTCAGTGTTCCCATGGCTTTGCCTTCCCTTTTGTTTTTAAAAGAACAACCTCTATTTTTAGGGATTTTCACACAAAGGCTTGTGGGCGTGGGAAGTTCTCCCAGCTGCCCTCCTGTTTCTCAGAAACCCACATGGAAGCCTCGCAAGTTATTTAAGACTTAGGAAATATGCCAGATTGGGAATGGAGATAATTTAATCTCTCTGTATGTTAATTTCGTTTTTTTTTTTCCTGCAACGTGAGGCCCTGGAAACCTTACTTCACCCCTAGGAAAGGCAGTTCTGGGTTTTGCCGAAGGGAGTTAGGGGAATTCACCCTACACAGCATGCCCAGAACACTTTCCTGGCAAAAGCAGATCCACCCTCAGAGTCTGGGGTCACCTGATCACGCAGCCAGGTGCACACGGAGACCGCTGGTGCCGAGGTCTCGGTCAGCTTGTCCAGATGTTTCTCGGCACATGCCCAGGAGGCTGCGGGTTTCCCTGCACCCAGGGCGTTCTTAGTCCTGCGTGCAGTGCTCACAGCCATTCCTCAGAGGCGCACAGGGTCGCTCCTGTCCCTGGCCTCCTGGTCCCGGGGCTGGGCATCTCCGCTGGTGACACTGTCGAGGGGGGAGCGGCCGTGGCTGGTCACGTTGAGCCCGTGGGCTTGCTGCCCCTACTCCCGGTTTCCCCGCGGCCCCGCCCTACCCAGGTGTAGGTTCTCGTCCAGGCAGGTGCGAAGGCCCGACCCTTGCAGAGAGAAAGCCTCTGCAGCCTCTCCTCTCCACCTGGACCCGAGACTCCCCGTGCTGGCGTGGCAGGGGTGCGCCCGCCCGGACTGGACAGCTGGGACCCGAGCAACCGAGCCGGGGCAGCCACGTGGCGGCGGGGCGGGGACCGGGCGGGCGCGGCACTGGAAGCTGGCTGTCCCGGGAGCAGGTGAGGACGGAAGAGCTGTGGGGGGTGGAGAGGGTGGTCTCCCGACTGTTACTCTCCCCGGGAGGGTCCCCGGCCCGCGTTAGGGGCAGGTCTGGGGTCACCTTTGCCCCCATCTCCCTGCCCAGGTGGATCCTCCCCTGCCGCCTGCCACCTGCGCGCCCGCACACGGCCTGGCCCCAGAACTTGGGGTGAGGGTTCGCGTCTGCGTAGAGTGTCAAGGGGCCTGGGTCCCAGAGCGGCCCAGACGCGAGGGTCGGGGCTCTGCGGGGCGGCGGGAAGGGCGGGCGGAGGCCTGGGATCCCTTGCTCTATGCGGCGTGGGCAGCCGGGGACACCCGGGCGCTCTGGGCCCCTACCTTTCACCCTGTTTTGTCAGGAATGCAGCCCACCAAGTCCCCCAGCTTCCCACTGGGCAAACGCTGCTCCCCCAGCCCTCAACTCTTAGTGCTCCGGGAGCCTTCCCTCCTCGCCAGCGCCGGCTGCTGACTTTAGTCGCCTTCTTCCCAGGACGACCAGCTCCACCCCTCAGCCTTGCTCTCTTCCTCCCCTTTCCTCCTCCTCCCAAAGTGTCCTGAGCCCCAGCACTGTGCTGGGGAGAGGGGCCACACAGATCAGGGGGCAAAATCCCCGCCCCAAGGGAAGCCAGGTCCAGCGTGAAGGGGAGAGTGCCTGGGGGTGGGATGGGGAACTGCCCTGGTCCTGACCAGCCTTTTCTCGTCCACCCTCTTCACTCCCCTGCCCTTCTCCAGCCCTGCTCGCTCCAGAGGGGCCTCAAGACAGCCTCCTCGTGGCCCCTCTTTCCTCTGCTCATGGCGCAGCTGCATTCACTCACCACCTGCAGCCAGGTGTAGTGAGTCATGGTGCCCTCGGCCTAGACAGCCAGGCCCAAGAGGCACCTGGAGGTGGGAGAGGAGTGTGACTCTGTGTCCTCAAGGGCTGGGCAGCCCAGCAGCTGGCTCTGACCCTCACATGCTGAAGGAGCTCAGGGAGGGAGAGAGCTGGGAGTGCCTGAGGCTTTAGGGCAGCAAGGTTCCAGCACAGGTGGGCTCTGAAGGACCAGCGGGATCTATTTGGGTACCAAAAAGGTAACCCCGCCAAGTTTCCAGATGAGGTAGACAAGGCCTCTCCTCACTCAGCCAGGTAGTTTGAACAATTCTGGTAGAAAGAATGGACAAAAAGGAGAGAGGAGAAAAGGAGCCAGCCTGACCAAGGATGGTGTTACCTTCCAGAGGGGTCTCCCCACCCAGACCACCAGGATCCCCGTTTGCTGGAGAATGACCCAGATGCCCCAGGTGCAGGAGCTCTTCCATGAGGCAGCCCAGCAGGTAGGCCCGGCATGTGCGGAGGTCTGTGATGGAGGCCTGTGAGCATGGGGTCCCCAGACAGCGGGCTGGATGCAAACATCACAGTGCCCTTTAAATGTGATTATCCCCAAACTCGATTGTGGTAGTCCAGTTTAATGAGAAAAGATTATAGCCAACTCTTAACCATTCATACACAGAAAATCTTTGGCATTATTTGCAGTGGGTTTTGAATCCTGGGCTCCCCCACAATCCTGAACTCTGTCTTGAGAGGTCTTCCATGGACAGTCACAGTGAGGACTCAGAGAATATGAACTCATTTTAATTCTGAATCAAACCAATGTAAGGTGGTAAATTTATTCCTGAAAATCTCTTATGTTCTGAAGCCGAATGGATTTCTGGATGCCCTGGTATTTTCTGTTTTCTGTTGGGTTTTTTTTTTTCTTCTTCTTTATCTTCTCCCTGCTGATCATTAATTACAGTAAATATGTATTCTGTAGATATGGAATTGAAGTGGTTCTCCCCAGAAATAGAGAGCTGATCCCTTAAGAAAAAAAAAAAAAAAAAAAAAAAAAAAAAAAAAAAGCCGGGTGCAGTGGCTCATACCTGTAATCCCAGCACTTAAGGAGGCCGAGGTGGGTGGATCACAGGGTCATGAGATCGAGACCATCCTGGCCAACATGGTGAAAACCCATCTCTACTAAAAATACAAAAATTAGCTGGGCATGGTGGCGCACGCCTATAGTCCGAGCTACTCAGGAGGCTGAGGCAGGAGAATCACTTGAACCCATGGGGGCAGAGGTTGCAGTGAGCTGAGATCATGCCACTGTACTCCAGCCTGGGTGGCTGAGCATTTTGAGATGAGGATAAAATATATATATATACTAAGGTGTTTATCCAGAAACTACGTGCACCCAGGGTCATTGCCATCCATGGTGACTTGACATGAAGTTTTCACCATCCCTTGGACTTCTGTCCTGCTTTCTAAAGAGGAGCAGGAGGGTTTCCCAGCCTTATGATAGGGGAACAAGCCCCACCAGAGGGGAGAGAACCATCATGAAAAAGAAATGGAAAATGTGAGGCCCAAGGGAGAGACAAATAAGACATTCTGGGTTCTCCTCTGTGAGAGAATCTGTTCCTCTCTCCCCTGTTTAAAACCTTCCATGTCTCCTCATGTGCACCACTCAGGGCTCAAACTCTTCAGCCGCAGCCCTACACAGTCTGACCCCACCTGAGTCTCAAGTTGGGTTCCCCACATCTTCCTGTCACACCTTCCAGCCAAACCACACCATTCCCCAGGGCTTGTATCTTTCCCTTGATCTTTGCTGATGCTTCTTATCAATGATTCACCATTGAAACCTTCACCCAAGGCAGTACCTGGTATTTAAGTGGACAGTAAATGTTAGTTGATTCACCACACGAACTAACAACAGATAACTACAATGCAAGTTAAATTGTCATAAGTGCCCTACAAGAGTTGATTTCTAAAATGTGATGGATACAATGACCTCTGTGTTGCCTCCTTCTCCCTTAATATCTAAACAGTGAAGAATTGGACACTGCCCAACACCCAATTTTAAGGCCTTTGGTGTTCATAATTTAGAAATCTATCCTTTCATGAGTTTGTGTCCTTTTCAGGGACATGGATGAATCTGGAAACCATCATTCTCAGCAAACTGACACAAGAACAGAAAACCAAACACCGCATGTCCTCACTCATAAGTCGGTGTTGAACAATGAGAACACATGGACACAGAGAGGGGAACATCACACACTGGGGTCTGTTGCGGGGTGGAAGGGTAGGGGAGAGATAGCAGGGGGTGGGGAGATTGGGAAGGGATAGCATTAGGAGAAATACTTAATGCAGGTGATGTGGGGTATGGAGGCAGCAAACCAACATGGCATATATATTCCTATATAACAATCCTGCAATATCTGCACATGTACCCCAGAACTTAAGGTATAATAATAATAAAAAAGAAATCCATCCTTTCTTTCTCTTTCCCTCCCCTGCACTGTCTTGTTAAGGGTACCATTTCTTGATTGGATGATTCATACTCTCCTAACTTCTTTTTCTACATTGCTACTAAAGTGATTCTTTTATGAAGCGTAAGTCTGTGTGTTTGACCCCTCTGCTTAAATTCCTTCAATAGTTTCTCACTGCCTTCAGAATTCAGCTCAGACTCCTCATCTTTGCCCCCAGGACCCTCGGTGATGGTTAACTCACCCCTCCTGTTCCCACAGCATCTTGTATCACTGCACTTACCATGTAGCATTGAAGTGAGCTGTTTCTTTTCTGTCTCCCTTAAGGCTGTGAACTTAAATTCAGGGGCCTGTCTTATTTATTTTTGTATACCCAATACCTGGCATGGTGGGTGGTGCATAGAAGATGCTCCACTGGCATTGGTTCTACTGAACTGAACTCACCTGGCTAGGAATTGGGGGAGTTGCCACTTGCATTAAGTCTTAAAGTAATGGTGGAAGTGGAACATATGGTGGACTTGGGAAGCATATTCTGGATGGGAGGGTGAGAAAATGATAATAGCTACCAGTTATTGGGCACTTACTGTATACTGAGCACTTAATATACATTACCTCATTTATCTCCATTACAGCATTCTGAAGTTGATATAATTATTTTGGTGTGACAGACTAACTGCAGCACTATAAAGCCAGGCACATTTGATGCCAAGGCCCGGGCTTTCATCCTGTTTGCTATGTGCCTCCTGCTCCAAATGGCATAAGCAAAGCCACCCAGATGGTAAATCAAGGGCCTCTGTGGGGGAACAGAGAGTAGGTTAGGTAGCTAACGTGCTGGAAGCTGAACTCTAGGAGTGGCTGTCCCTCAAGAAATTTTCTGTGAATCTTTTAAAATGTTATTTCAGCCTTGGAGATTGGAAATTCTGCTAGGAGATTTGGGGCCTGCAGAACACAAGATTAGGAAGCAGTGCCCAGTGGGAAGACAGGCTAGTGGGTGTCATGCCACCTTCAGTCTTGACCTGCTCTTCTCTTGCTCACAGTGGTTATAAAGTAGCTCACAGGAAGTTTGGCAAGGGTGGAGTCACTTGGAAGTTAGGTGGAGGGGTGAATGAATGGATTCTTGGTTTGGTTTTAATCATTTTAGGACCACATAGGGTAGCTGTATGTGTGTGGTATAGACTGGTCAATAATAAGTGGACCATCTGGGAAGGAGCTGTAGATCTGAGTGTTAACGGTGTGGTTGTCGAGGGCGCATGTGCTGCCTGGGTCAAGTCCTGGCTCTAATGCTTTGTAACCTTGAACAAGTTTTGTAACCTCACTAAGCTTCCATTTCCTCACCTATAAAATGACTGCCCAATGATTGAAACCACCGTAGAGTATGAAGACAATTAAAAGAGATAATTTGTATAAATATTTGGTATAGTGCTTGGTTCCCGGTCAGCATTCAGTAAATGGCTAATAATAAAACTAAGGTGGGGAGTATGCTTTTAATCCATTGGGTACTGGTACAAATGAGCAGAAGGATCCATTGGCAAATAAATGCATGACTCAGCACAGCTGAGTCAGACAGAAGACCTAAGGCAGGAGTCTCAAACCTAGAATTATACCTTTGGCCAACACCAGAATGTGAGATATTGTTCTGGACAACCTGCTGGGTGGGCAGTCTGTTGAGGAGGATGGGTGCTTTCTAGGCCTGAGTGAGTCTGGAGTGGTTTGGGAATAAGAGTGTATGTTTGGAGACTCACGGAACCTCTGGCAGGCCGAGCCTTGTTCTAGGGGCCTCTGTCTGGAGGCACTTTACTGAGTGTGCTTTAGTGGTAGACTCAAACCTGGGTTCCAGGTTCCTCATTGTGACTGTACCACTGGATAGGCTGGGCCCTTGGGCCAGTTACCCACAGGCTCCCAGTCTATTTCCACAACTATGTGATGGAGTGAGTGGACCTGATTCTCAGGGTTTTTACAAGCCTAAAGGAGATGCCGTATGTGGAAGGGTCTGGCCCAGTGCCTGCCACATAACAAGCACTAAGTAAAATGCTCGTTTGATGACTGGCTGAAGCTGACTTCACATGGAAACCCAGCGGAGTAGGCTGTGAAACTTGGGGCTGGAAAACTAAGAAAGGAGCAGCTGTGCAGAGGGAGGCGAGCTGAAGGCTAACGAGCCGAGATTGCGTGCTTGTCTCTGCCAGGTACTGGACAGACAGGACTGAGATGATCAGGGTGTTTCAGGAAGATGAAGTTGGCAGGAGAAAGCAGGTAGCCTGAGACAAGAACAGATGGCAAGCTGACAAGCTGTGTGGAGGTCTGAAGTCCAGCAGAATCTCATTCTCTTAGCATCAGGAATAGGGAGAAAATTTGGTTTCATTTACCAGGTGTTTATTGAGTGACAGTTCTTGCCAGGATCTCCAGCTCCTGCTGGAGATATTAAAACAAATACAAAAACAACAGCAATCTCCTAGTTCTTATGGACTAAGAAGTGCCTCCAGCTAGCCAGCTAGTCTTCCTTCTCTCAGGGTTGAAGGGTCTCAATAGGAAAGTGAAGCTGGCCTGAGAATGAGAATTTCTTGAACCTGGGAGGTGGAGGTTGTGGTTAACTAGCACACCGAATTCATGCTCTTTCTTCTGCATTCTGCTTTACTCCAGAGACTTGAACTCTAGCAGTAGTGGGTCCATGTAGACCCTTTTCTAGGAGGTCTGCAGGCCAAAGTCTGGCTAATTGCTCTAGAAAAAGCCTGCTGCAGCCCATAGGTGTAGGCGTCCCATCGCAACCATTGTGTCTGGCCTGAGTGCAGGAGCAGGTGTTTCGAGTTCGCTGAAGCCTGCCTGGGTTCTGACTCTGCTCCCTGTTTTCTTGTACAGTGTCCCAGCTCTTTCCCTCTGTGTCCTCTCCTCCCTCTCTCTCTTGTGGTTTGGATCTGCATCCTCGCCAAATCTGCTGGTCAGTTGTAATCCCCAGTGTTGGAGATGGGGCCTGGTGGCAGGTGATTGAATCATGGGGGTGCTTCTCATGAATGGTTTAGTACCAGCCCCTTGATGCTGTTCTGATA